ACATAGGGTCACTATGAGTCACAAGCTACTTGACGGCACATAACAGCAATAACAACAACATCAATAACCTACGTTATACAGATGACACACCCTGCTTTTTGAAATTTAGGAGGACCGGAAGCACTTGCTGCAGAAGGTCAAGGACTGTATGTTCAATGGATTGAAGCCCAACATCAAGAAGACAAAGATTCTCACCCCTAAGATTCACTGGGGAAATTAACATCACCATGATGGATGGAGAAGAGATTGAGATTGTTAACAATTTCAGCTTGCTCAGGTCCACAATCAACACTCTCGGCACCAGCAGTCATGAAATCAAAAGACGAATTGCACTGGGAAAATCTGCTGTCAGAGAGCTCTCCAGAGTACTGAGAAGTCTGGAGGATGTACTATATGCACTTAAAAAAAAAAAAAGCAAATTGACTTTTAGGTGGATGCAGTACCCTGAATATATCCATACGGTCAAATTGGCTAATTGCATAGTTTAGATCTTCTGCATCATTGCTAAGTTTCTTTCAATTGGACCTATCCTTTGGTGAGAGCAGTGTGTTAAAGTCTCCTACCACTATTGTGGGCTCTCTCTTTCTTCTAGTCTGTTAACTTTTGTTTTCTATATTTTGCATGGCTGTCACTTGGTGCGTAGATGTTCATAATTAAGTATCTTTTAAAAATTTTTTATTTGAGTGAAAGTTTATAAATCATATCCTGGATTTTTCCAATCAATAATTCATGTTCATTTTGTTCCATGACGTCAGTTATCATGTGCACAATATCTGGTCTTCCATCCATCTCATACTGTCTTTCCCTTCACTCTCCTAGTCCTGATAAGTGTTTATAGCGTATTCATGAATTTTCTACTCACTGCCCTCTCCCATCCCTGATAATCATATTAGACTGTTTCTCTCTGTGTATCAGCCTTTCTTTAGCATTTTATGACAGTGACCTTATAGTCTTTCTTTAAAAATTGCCTTTTTATTCAATCATTCATATACATTTTGTTTCATAACATTCTGAAGCACTTGCTGCAGAAGGTCAAGGACTGCAGCCTTCAATATGGATTAAAGCTCAACATCAAGAAAACAAAGATTCTACCACTGGGCTAATTGGCAGCATCATGATGGATGATGAAGAGATTAAGATTGTAAACAGCTTCAATTTGCTTGGATCCACAGTCAACACTATTGGCACCAGTATCCAGGAAATTAAAAGATGAATTGCATTGGGAAAGACCTCTCCAGAGTACTGAAGAACAATGATGTCAGTCTGGAGACGAAGGTGTGCCTTATACAGGCCACGGTCTTGGAAATCAAATACTATGCATCAGAGAGCTGGACAATGACTAGGGATTACAGAAGGAGAATTGATGCCTTTGAGCTGTGGTGTTGGAGAAGAGGATTGAATACACCATGGACTGCTAGGAGAACAAACAGGTTCACCCTGGAGAGGGTTAAACCAGACTGCTCCTTGGAGGAAAGGATTCTGAAACTTCGTCTGACATACTTTGGGCATGTGGGGAAGGACAAGTCCTTGGAGAGGGTTGTCATTCTTGGGAGGGTCGAGGGATAGTGCAGGAAAGGAAGACCCTCGATGAGATGGATTGATTCAGTAACTGGGGTAATGGGGGTAGGTGTGTCAGAGACAATAAGATTGACAAGGGATAGAGTAGGGTTTAGGACTGTTGTACATAGGGTTGCTATGAGTCCCAGGTGAATTGACAGCACATAACAACAACAACAACAACATTACTTACAACCAGTAAGTGTCATTTATTACAAGTCATCAAATTCTTTTTTTCTCTACCACTTAGTTTATTTACAAAATTCTAATACAAATTTGAATAAATTCTTTCCGTTTCCCCCATCTATCAAATTGTACAATCCAATGATTAATTTCCCCTTCTCCCTATACAACTCATCAAATTCTTGTATCATATTCCAGCTTGAATGTCTACCAGTTCCTGTTGATGTACTCTTTAGCTGTTTTTTTTATTATCTTTAACAATATTTTGTCTTTTATAGTAATGATGTTGCTCAATGATTTCCACATTTTGTTGGATCTCCTCTTTTTGGAATGAGAATAAATATAGATCTCTTCCAATCAGTTAGTTGGATAGCTGTCTTCCAAATTTGTTAGTACAGACTGGTGAGCACGCCCAGGGCCACAGATGTTTTTGAAACATGTTGTTGGCATCCTATCGATTCCCGGGGCCTTGTTTTATGCCAATACCTTCAGTGCAGCTTGAACGTCTTCATATGTATTCGTTCTGGACCACATGCCAATTTCTGAAGGGGATCGCTGTTGATCAGTTCTTTCTGGTGCAATGACTATGTTCCTTTTGCCTTCATTTGTGCTTTGTGCATCCTTAAAGATGTTGCCCATAGAATCCATCAGTATTGCAACTTGAGACTTGAATTTGTTCTTCAGTTCTTTCACCTTGAGAATTGCCAAGGGTATTTCCTTTTAGAGAAGAGATTTCTCCCGATATGCAAGATCATGATGGATGGAGTTGTCAATAACTTCATCTTACTTGGATCCACAATTAACATCCTTGATACTAGAAGTCAGGAAATATGGAGACCTGTTGCACTCTGAAAATTTGCAGTTGGGGACTGCTCAAAATAATTGAGGAGCAATGATATCAATTTGAGGACGAAGATGCATCTGATTCAGGCCATGATCTTTCTGATTACTTGCTATGCATCTGAGAGCTTCTCAATGAATAAGGATGACAGAAGAAGAGTTGATGCCTTTAAGCTGTGGTGTTGGAGAAGAGCACTGAACATCCCATGGATGGCTAAAAGAACAAACAAATCTGTCTTGGAGAGGGTGCAGCCAGAGTGCTCTTTGGAGGCAAAGATGATGAGACTTCACCTCACATATTTTGAGCCTGTTGCTAGGAGGGGCTATTCCTTGGATAGGAACATGACGCTTGGAAAGGTAAAGGGTTGGTGAAGGAGAGGAAGAGTCTTACCAGGTGGGCTGCCACAGTGACTGCCACAATGGGCTCTTATGTGTTAGGATGTGTGAGGATGGCACACGATAGAAGAGGGTTCAGGTCCATCATTTACAGGGTAGCTAGGCGTCGTTTTCGACTCAACAGCACAGAACAACAACAACATTCTTCCTTTTTTGTTTTCTAATTATAGCTCCTTGCATATTTCTTACACTACTTTGTCTTCTCAGTCTGCCCTCTGAAATCTCCTGTCCAAGCCTTGACTTCAGCATTTCTTCCATTTGTTTTGGCTCCTCTCAACCAATAACGTTCTATGACAGGTTTGGAAGCAGGAGTGGCACCCACCTCCTAAGCAACAGGCCTCAGGAAACTCTATGAACTTTGATAAATGGCGATGGTTGTAGGGGGGCTTCAGGCCTTTTGTTCATAGGATCGCTATGAGTCGTGCTCAACTTGAAGACAATCAATGACAATGTTCTCGTGTAAATTTCAGAGTCTGTTCTGACATCCAGATTGATCTTTTCTTTCTTTCATGTTTAGTAACAACCCTTTGAGTAGTTGTCTTGGATAAGAGTACTGACTACTCCATGAGCTGCCAGAAGGACAAACAGATATGTCTTGGGGAAAGTGCACCAAAAATGCTCCATGGAGGCGAGGATGGCAAAGCTTCATCTCACATATTTTGAGCATGTTGTTAGGAGAGGCTATTCCTTGAAGAAAGACCTCATGCTCGGAAAGGTGAAGGGCCAGGAAAATGGGGAAGACGCTCGAGAAGATGAACTGACACAGTGACTGCTGCAATGGGCTCTTATGTGTGAGAGACAAACCCTCATTCTGATTTTTATGCGCAGCAAGTGATGAACTCATGAGGTAAGACCCTCAAGGAGTTAGAGTAACAAGTGGCTGTGAGAAAACAGTGCCAGGGACAGGGACTTTCAAGGAGTTTAGTAACACAGTGGCTGCAAACGCAACGATCATTCACAGACGTTCGCAAAGGTGGTGGCTTAAACATAGATGATTTGCAGTCATTCACAAGGGTGGTGTAAGGCTTCGAACGTAGACATTTCACAGCCGTTCACAATGATGACGTGAGGCTTAAACATAGATGATTCACAGCCGTTCACAAGGATGGCGTGAGGTGTCAAGTACAGATGTTTCACCATCATTCACAAGGGCACTGTAAGGCTGGGCAGAGTCACTACAGGGGAACAACTCAGTGGCCCTGACAGCAGCTGCAAGGACACCGAGTCAGCGTTACTCCTTGAGTGCTGAGAAGTGTGTCTGTGCAGTGTTCAGTGGCTGATGTTTTAGTTCCAGGCATGGAGCTTTCTTCTGAGTCATTAACCTCAGAGTGAACAGCTGACCACTGGACCAGAGACTCTGGTGGTAACCCAGGAGAAAGGTACCACGCTTGTGGAAAAAGAAGGTCATATCCAGAACCTCCCTTGGTATTAGGCAATCCTCCATAACCATGATGAGCATAAATAACAAGGAAAAAAAATAATCCATTTTAAATTTGACTTGTATTTTCTTTCTTTACATTATTTTATTCCTTCTTCTTTTCATTTTTAAAATAGACTAACAGAAGAACACAAAGGGATTTATGAAGTAAATTTCTTGAGAGGAGAAACCCCTACCTGGGAGGGAGTTGGGAGAGGATTCTGTGTCTGCACATTGTGTGGGACAACGTCTTAGGGAATGTTCTATAAAACTGATGAGCTACTCATACACTGTGACCACCAGTCAGCCCCTCCTCTATGCAGGGGTCTGCTGTGTCTGAGTCAGCCTCAGTAGGGGTGTATGGGCCTGAACACCCAGGATGGCTTCCAGGGGGTATTGCTTTCTGTTTCTGAGGCCATGTACATTTCTTGTGAATTGCTGCCAGTGGGTCCCATATACATATCTTACATATTTCTTTTTTCTTTCTTTCCCCCCTCATTTTCTTTTGGTCTTGTTTTATAGTTTTTGTTCCTGTTTTTGTTTTTCTCACTAGCATTCATTCTGTGGCCTTGAGGAGCCTGGGGAGCAGAGCATCTGGGTGGGTACCGGGCTTTGGTGGGATGGAGGGCGTTCCTGGGATGATGCTGTGGGGAAGGGACTTTGAATAAGTGGAGAACATATTTAATCCTGGTTGCCTGGCTGTCCTGGGTGTCAAGTCACCCTGAAAGTGAGCTTCTGGAGTTTTCTGAAGGTTCTGTCCCATGGCCTTGGCTGGGTCCTTCTCATGGTAAATCCTTTCAAGGGCCCAGATGTGAGGGGCTTCTAGTGTAGGAGGTGGATGGACAGGTGGGTCAGACTGTGGCCACTAGCCTAAGCTATGTTCTGTGAACACTTGCCAGGCCCTGAGGGAGATGTCCAGGCAGCTGCAGGTACTCAGTAGCCAGCTTGAACCCATTCCTGCTCCAAAGCCCAGGCCCAGGGTCTGGGGGGTTTGAGAGTCTGGCTATAACCAGCTGAGGAGAAGAGCACAAGGTAGGGGGAGACGGTGGCCAACCCCAGGGCCAGGGCTTATCCTTTCTCCACCACACCTGGGACAGTGCGCTGCATCAGGAAACTTATCCAATGTTTGCTGGATGAATGAAGGAGAGGTCCAGGTCTTACAGGAAAGTCTATCCAACTCCCTGCAGATGGAGATGGGCAGCCTTGCATGCTAGAACTGGAAGAGAGGAGTTGGACCTCTTCCTCTCCCCCAGTGGCTGGAAGAGTCCTTGGGCCAAACAGGAGTTACGGGTCAGGACAGTGACATGAGGCATGGGCTGTAGGCTGGGTTTGAGGGCTAGGGTTGGGGTGGGCTGTGGGCAGGGTCTGAGGGTCAGGACAGTGGGGCTTGGGCTATGGGCTAGGGCTGAAGGACAGGATTGGGGTGGGCTATGGGCAGGGGTTGAGTGTCAGGATTGGGGTGGGCTGTAGGCAGGGCCTGAGGATCAGGGTCAGGGAGGTCTGTGGCCAGGGGCTGGGGGTCAGGGTGAGGGTGGACTGTGGACAGGGGCTGGGGGTCAGGACAGTGGGGAGTGGACTGTGGGTTGTGGGCTAGGGTTTTGGGGTGGGCTCTCGGCAGGGGTTGAGTGTCAGGGTTGGGGTGGACTGTGGGCAGGGCCTGAGGATCAGGGTCAGGGTGGGTTGTGGGCAGGGGCTGGGGGTCAGGATCAGGACTGCAGGTCAGGGTCAGGGTGGGCTGTGGGCGGGGGCTGGGGGTGAGGGTCAGGTTGGGCTGTGGGCAGGGGCTGTGGGCAGGGGCTGCTCTAAATGTCTGGCTTGTTTCTGTGTCATTTCAAATCCTTTCCTTTCACAGGATAGAAAGAGAGCTTATGGGGTAAACTGAGCCCCTACAGCACAACAGCTCCTCTGAGACCAAACCCTGCAGCTGCCAAGCTGCTCTCAGCCCAGAGGTGGCAACAGAGCTCCCTGTGCTGGGAGGCATTGAATGCCGCCTGCCAGCCCTGAAATGAGGCTTCTGTGCTGATGGTGGTGTGAGTCCAGCGACAGCCCCTCTTGGAGGAGAGAGATGAGAGAACAGGTGCCATACCTGGATTCTGAGAAGATACTGCAGCCTGCCCCACCTGAACCCTGGGTTGGCAGACACCCCATGACCACACGCATTCATTCACAGACATTCCTGAGCTCTGAAACCAAATCAGACGTGGCTCATCACTTGGCCAGAGCACAGCTGGATGCCAGAAAGGCCGGACATGGCCGAGCTGGGCCCACAGTCAGGGCTCAGGACTTTTTGGGATCTGTGTGTGATGTTCATGCAGGTGTGAAGGCTGATCTTGGGAAGAGTGGACTGAGAGACACCATGGCCATGATAGCTGACCTGGCCTGATCCCAGCTGGCTGCTGGGTGGCCCAGGAGGACACTCAGGACAGGGCAATCCTGGCGCTGAGGCCACACCCCTGCTGAGTCACCAAGTGACACTCCTTATTCTCAGGATGACCCCTGAATCCAGGGGGAGGGCTGCTGGGGAAAGGCCTCCCCTTGGACAGTGGGAACCATTGCAGGGGGCCGCTGAGAACCCAAAAAAGAAGTTACTTCTGGATGCTGTTGTGTCATTGTTATCAGGGGCCAGAGAGGCCACATCTCCATAAAGGGGTGCTATTGAGTGCCTTGTGAACCTCAAATCTGGGAGACAAGCCACAATGTGTCAGGGAAGCCCAGTGGAGTTGGGGGTGGGGAAGGGACAGATGAGTGAGTCCATGAAGGAGAGTTGGAGGTGTGGGGGTGTAGGTCCTCATCTACAGGAACACCCATGCTCTGGCTGGAGCAGGGGGAAGGCTGGAGATGTGAGGGGGGATATTCAGGACTCATCACCCAGAATGGATATTGTCTCCCTGGCTGGAGAGGTGAGAGGGGATGTGCAAAGTCTTCACTGAGGAAGGAGACCCATGCCATAGCTCGAAAGGGGAGGGAGGATGTCCAGAGAGCAGAAAATGTGCCTTGGTGGCACAGGGCAGAGAGCATCTCTCTGAAAGGGCCAGAAGGCGTGAGACTAGCACAGCCCCTCACTGCCCGGAGCAGAAAGCAGATAAAGAGCCCACAGCCCAGCCCCATGCTGCCTCTAGAACCACAGCAGCAGCAAGAGATTCATTTGTTCATTGTTGACTCACAGACTGACAGTTGTAGTGCCAACAATGGGGTTTCTTAGGGAAGGAGGTTAGAGAGTGAAGGAGGTAAAGAATACCTCACAATACAAGCCCAGGTTTTAGCCCAAGGTCCAAGGTCACCAAAACACAATTCCTCAATTAATAAAAGTACTGGTTTCAATTCAGCCACACGAAACCTCTGGTTTCCTCAGTCATCCAGCAAGGTTTGTCTCAGAGCAGTTATAAGTCAGCTTCTCCTTCAAGCATTGGGCAAGAACAGAAACACCTTTTACTGTGGCCAGCACAAATACACAAAGCCTCAGGTCAAACCTTGCCACAATCTCCAAAGCAATGCCACAGTCTTTCTACCATGATCACCAAGGTCTTGCCAACAGGGTCTCACTCTCAGCAGAGTTTTGCCCCAGTCTCTCTTAAGTCTTGCTATCACAAGTCTTGCTAACCTCAAGTCTTGTTGCCCAGTGTGGGAAGCACTCTTTCTCTTATCCTAGTCCCACAGCTGTTGGTGATTTGCAAGACCATGCTGATTTGTGAGACCATGTGCCTTACTAGTTAAGGTAGCTGGAGACCAGAAGGGGCTAACTGTAATGGCTTTAAAAAAAGCCAACTTGTAGGCTAACACCACAGGGGACAAACAGGCTTGAATTTAGGAAGGACAATTATACCTCACCTGGAGGTATGGAGGAGACATGCAGGCTTGTTACTCCGGGGAGACACCCATGCCCTGGCTAGAGCAGGGAGGAGGGACATGAAGGCTTGTAACTTAGGAAAGAGAGCCACACCTCACCTGGAAGTGTGGGAGGGAGATGTGGCAGGAAGAACATGCATGCCCTGGAGGCATCCTGGAGGGATGTGCAGTCACCACACAGGAAGGACACCCACACACTGGCTGGAGGTGGGAAGAGGGGCATACAGGCTTGTCTTTAGGAAGGACACCCACAATACACCTGGAGGTGTGGGGGTAACGTGCAGGACATCTATGCCCTAGCTGGAGGAAGGGGGATGGAGGTTTATCTTTATGGGGGACATGCAGCCTTGTCACTTAGGAAGGACACTCAAACCTCAGCTGGAGGTATGAGAGGGGGAGATATGCAAACTTGTTAACTAGAAAGGACAACAATACTCTGGCTGGAGAGGGGATGTGCAAGGTCGTCACCTAGGAAGAACACCCACATCACGGCTGGAGGGGGAGGGAGGACATGCAGGCTTGTTACTTAGGAGAGACACCTACACCTCACCTGGAGCTGTGAGAGGGGCATGCAGGACTGCCATCCAGGAAGGACAGCCACACCTCAGCTGTAGGGCACAGGGGCACTGGAAGACCCCATGAGATTACACCAAAGGGCCCCCCACAGCAGTATCTCAAAACCAGGCCCATGCAGGAAATCCAAAATCTCTGTAAATGTTCATTAAAATTATTTTTAAAAAAAAGGAAAAAACCCCCAAACAAACCAGGCTCAGACTCAGGTGCTGAGTCCCACTCCTCATGGTTCAGACTCACTGACACCCAACCTGTGACCCTGCCCAACCTGTGTTTCGCCGGGGACTCCACCTTTAATCTGTGACTCACCTGAGACCCCTGCCTAACCTGTGATTCACCTGAGACCCCCCCCAAACCTGTGAGCCGCCTGGGACCCCAAATTCAACCTGACTCACCTGAGATCCTTACCCCAAACTGTGATTCATCTGGGACCCCAACTTCAACCTGAGAGTCCCACCCCAACCTGGAACTCCCCTGAGACCTCTACCTTAACCTGGGACTCCCCTGAGAGTCCTCTGACCTTCATGTGCACACCTGGTGATGAGACACAAAGGCTTGACAGCTATGGCCCCAACTACGCCAGAGACTGTGAAGGTCAGGACTGGGCAGTGCTTTGCTCTGTTACTCATGAGGTCACCAGTGAGCAATGACAAAAGACCAGCAGAGCTCACAGGCACCCCTACACTCAGGGAACTCCAAGAGGAGCCCCCAAGAGCAACCTCTGAAAGGTCATGCAGGGGAGTGAGGCTGGGCAGGCTGAAGTCGGGGTTCCAAAATCCTTAACACCATGACCCAGCACCTCATGAGGGGGTATCCATCAAAGACCCCAGAACATGTCCCCTGATAGTGTGAGATTCCTGAAAACACCCCGGTAGGAGGTTTCCCCTGATGTGTGGGGGTCCCGGTAGGCACCCTGCGAGGAGGTCTCTATTGGAGACCCCAGAACTGATGCCCGGTGTCTGTGGCTCAGGGTTTAAGTGTCCAGTGCTGTAACTCGGGGGTGGACCCTTACTGAACGCAAGGATACTTCTTCACGGGGCAGACCCTGATCAGCCTTGACCCTGAAGACCCAGGCCAGATCCATGTAAAGGTCCCAGGGTGAGTGGTGGCTCATCTCCCCTTCCAGCCAGTGCCTAGGCCCTGGAGGCCACAGT